AGAAGACCAGGCATGATGACAGCTATAGGAAGTATAAGTGGTGCCAATGCAGTCCGTTCCCGAAAATAGCCAACCACATTCCATGACAACATTGCAGTTGCAAGTCCAATTTTTCCCGCAATTTATGACTGGTTATCTGAGAGATTAATCAATGTGGGAGTCCCGGATACCCTACAGCTTACCCTATTACGTAATTTTCCTTATTAGGCCATGGGAGACCTGCGTAAGTTGCTAACTCATTCGGCAAAGACCGATGAGCAAAGTTAAATTAGCGAAATGCGCGCGTATGTGCAGTAATATCTGCAGCGTCACCGAACACATTAGGCCTGTGAAAGGAGCTGGGGACCGCACGCACAACCAACACATGTGTGAGTTATTGGTGCCTTTAATGCCAGACGCTAGGATGGATTGATGGGCACTGACACAAATTAGCCAAACAACAATTTACGAATGGAATACTATCGCAAACTCATGATAAAGCCCACCGGAACCTTTTTACAGGAATCCTCATTCCTGCGCAGTATGCCGTACGCTGATTAGAGGAGTCGAAACAACCAAATAGTCCATATGATGACCCTAGCGGCACATAAATGAGGAAGATTGTGGATTCTAGAAAATTTATTCTAAATAGTTGTCTGGGATAGCATCATCGCATCGACTTCGCCACCAGCGTATTCACACGAACCATGCGCAAACTGACGTGTGACTTTGATAATACACTAATCAATAAATAGTAGTCGTTCATAGGCTATTCGGCCTCGAAACCTGTTAGTGCAATAGCAGTATACACTACTATGGCATTGCTCAGAACCATTTGGTCTCTGTGCTGTGTCAATGCAGCGCTGGGCGGTATTCCGTACGGTGACTGAGGTTGATTACAACCGGTTATAACGGTTACAACCGTGCCAATAAGGGCACAATTAGGAGAACAAATTATAGGCCTAGAGCACTAGACTCAGCAAGGACATCTTGACCTGAATGAATGAGAAGGTTCGCGATCCAGGTATTTGCATGGACGAGCGCTTCCGCAGCGCGCGCTGCGGAAGGTCTCGTCCTGGCCCAGGACATTGCTATCAGGGGTCATTACATATGCAATCCTGTTAATATATTAGTAACCAATGAGCAAGTGCGCATATCCCAAATATAAGAGTAACGGCACTTAATAGTGCCCCTTATTTTGAAGAGGATTGAATGAGGAAAGGTAAATGAAGTTGCAAAAAATAAGTTAGAAAGAACGAGATCTAACAACGCACAAACCAAAAGACGAGGGCGTAGCCACTAAACCAAGAGCTGGGCCCCCTCGTATAATATCAGAAAGTACGCTTTTTATTCAGTTGCTAAGGTTATTCTGTCCTAATTTTAACGTTCATGAAGCTGTATTGAGTTGCATATATTTCATTTAGGCATCGCCTTCCCAAATGCTCTGGGAATCTACAACGGTGGACTCAAATGATGATTGTGCCATCTGAGCGAAATAAATATTTAATTATAAGAGGCATTATAAGCAAATACCTACTTTGCTCCCCGGCCTTCGTCTACTGGTTATGTTCAAAGGAAGGCTAAGTTATTTTAGTTTTTGCATCGCAAACGTATAGAGCATTGAATATAAAACATGGCAAAGATCCAGGACTAGAAAGGCATACTTAAGGTGGTCGATTATATATGTTACCGTTTGTTTTCTATTTTTCTGTGCATTCATTGTTATTGTTGTTAGAGTATGTATATTATAACTTGAAATTACTGAAATACATTCACCCATTTTTCAAGTTTTGTGTTAGAACATGCCACGATTACTCCACGATGCTTATGTAAATGCTTAAAATGAGCCCAAACTTCTCCGAGTTTGTTTCCTTAGGTGACTTCAATAGACTGCAATAGACTGCGAAAATCTGACAGTGGACGAGATTTTTACTTTCCTCGGTTCTAAGTTAATGGATCTTACACTTGACTTTCCTCTGGAACAGAACGTTAAGACACAAACCAGATTTCGTGAGAACCAGAGAGCTAGTTGCTTGGATCTAATGTTTATGAAGGATTTATCCTACATCGATGAAGTGCATTCAAGTGCCCCGCTCGGTAAGAGTGATCATACGACGCTAGTGTGGGTTTATTCACTCAATTCTCAACGTCCGAGAAAAATGGAGGACCAGCCGAATATATGGAAGGCAGATATTAGTTCGATGAAGAATGCACTATCGTCCGTGAATTGAGACTGTCTGCTCAAGGGGGATCCGGAGGAAGATTAGAGATCATTCAAGACGATTGCATTAGGTCTGATTAAGTGCTGTCGTCTGGCAAAGGTACACAAGACGACTTTTCGTCCTGCCTGGTTGACGGGAGTCCTAAACCGGCAGTTAAAGAAGAAAATAGGAAATGGATGTTATTCAGGGAAACTGGGTCAGCACAACACCTCAATGAATTCCGATGCCAGAGGAATGCGGTAAAAAAATCGAATCGCCAGGTAAGAAAAAAAAACTAATATGCGAAAATATTTGCGGTCCAGAGATAATTTTAACTTCATTTTCCCCAGAAGAGGAAGAAGAAGCGGAAGCGATTCCTGGGACCTGGTTATAATTAAGCTGACGTTTCGGAAACTCT